AAGATGAAGATGAAGATGAAGATGAAGATGAAGATGAAGATGAAGATAAGGATAAAGATCATAACCCCTTAACTATAACTCATCTTAACTTAAAAACTTACTCCACCTGAGTTCACCACACATTAATTCACCACACTTTAACTCCCCACACCTAAATTCACCACACTTCAACTCGCCACACCTTAACCCCCGCACCTAAATCCACCACACCTAAATCCACCACCCTTAATTCAGCACACCTCGACTTTCTCACCACACCAAAATTCACCACACCTTAATTCACCACACCTCAACTTTCTCACCATAGCTTAACTCATCACACCTGAATCCACCACACCTAAATTCACCACACCGTAACTCCTACACCCAATTCCACCACACCGCAGCTCACCACACCCAATTTCACCACATGACATGATATCACTTGATGTGGCATCAAAGGCAACATCATTTGGCATAAAATGAACCAAAATAAATAAGATTTAGATAGAGGTGAAAAAAGGGATAAAAAGGAAATACAACTGAAGAGTGTGCGATGTTATATTGTGGTGTGTTATGCTTCATATGTTTTGTTATTTATTCTTATGTTATGGTTATGTTATGTTATGCCAAGTACTCAGCTAAACTCCCCTCCACTTAACCCATTCCAACTAATGTTATTTTAGCTCATTCAACTTACATAAACTATCCTTAATTTTATCGGTTGAATTTCAACCGCTGGGCGAACACTAGTTATTATAAAAAGACAAATATTTCTTTATTTCATTTAACTTTAAGATTTCATTGTTTTAAAAGGAAATATATATTTTTAATATCATTTAATTTTTAGAAACATTTTAAAAAATCTTTTTTTTTTAAATTAAATTTTCTTCAATTTTTTTAAGAGGATTTCCACCAAGGCTTAACTGCGGTTTATGTCTATTGAAAAAAGGAGATAACAACGCGAAGGGGGTAATTCTACCTACTAAGTAGAAGCAAATGAAAGGAAAAAAACAAAAATTAAAAAACAAACCTTGCCGATCACCCCATGTTAAAATTCTTGGAACCTTATTTAAACTCTTTACTGCCGTTTGGCCTTTGGTGGAAATAGGCTATAAGACAAAATTCAGTAAAAAATTTTTTGGAAAAATTTCGATCCAAACTAATCTCTAAAAAAATATACATACATATCGTTGCCTTAATATAGAAAGGCCCTAACTCACATCGTCGCTGAAATGCACAAAGCCGTAACTAACTAAAATCTTTTATTGCATAAAACGATGTGAGGCCACATAATTCGATCAAATGCATCATAATCAATTAAAACGTAAATTTTCAATTTTTAGTTAGTTACGACTTTTTGTAAATCAGCGACGATGTCAGATAGGACCTTTCTATATTAAGGCAACGATATGTATTTACTTTTTAAATTTAATTTGATTTTTAGAAAACTTATTGCCAAAACCTTCTCGTTAGCAGATTATTCAATTAGTCTTTCGAAAGGCTGAGAAGAGCTTTCAAGATACATAGTAGCCAAAGTTGGCATCTGCTTTACTAACCAAGACTTGGACTTGGGATGTCAAAGAATTGCGACCATATTTAGACAAGTATTGGATCTTAGGTCTTGCAGAAAACTGTTAACTTGAAAGCTCCCAAAAGCCTTCTCATCTTTTTTACCCCCTGCATATCCCCCTATGACCCTACTGCGGTGCCGTGACATAACCCAAATTATAAAATGTGGCATTATGTCACTCCTTTTTTACTTGAGGATATGCCACTTTATATATATATTTACATATATATTTCTAGAGTATGCTGTAATCGGACTAAATATTTATATTTTTAATAGAAAATTTCTTTTTAATTTTTTGAGCGTGTTTTTATGTGATTTTTTCCTTGAGAGCTAGAAAATATGCTTTGGGCTTAAAAGTGGCATAATCCCAAGTAAAAAAATTTGCTTTTTTGTCACTGTACAAGGAGTGAAATAGTTCCAAATCTGAAAATTTGCGATGCGCCTAGCGGTTTTTGCGCCGAGAACTATTAGAAAAACTAATACATAAATAGATACTTACTTGATGATCAATACATGCTGTTGTATGCATTTTTTGATACATTTCAAACCTTCCAGCTCATTCAATTCGTGCATATTACCCAATTTCTGCTGCAGATCTTTCATAAGGAAAATACCAAATGATATAGATATTAAAATCACACACAAATAGGAAACATATGACAATAGGACGATCGGAGTAAGCCAAAGTGCTTGCAACACGGAAATTATCTCGTAGTATGGACTTGTGTACAGGTCGACAAATGGCAATCGCACTTCAATTAGGTATTCTGTAAAGAAGTATCGGGTAGTACGGGACGAACTTTTGTTTTTAATGTTCTTCTTACTTTTATTCGTACTACTACTGATGGTCAGCAGTTGTATGGCGGAAATATAGAATATACAGACTATCATGATGCCGAATATAGTTTTAGATGCACGTCGCGTTTTTCGCGTGTATTCTTCTAAGTTTTTCATTGTCACTTCGTCATTTTCCGACTATTTAAAAGGTGGAGATGTTTGATTGATTGATTCGTAAGTATTGGTTTTTAAATATGCGCATCTCAATTGCAATGGAAAATTATTGAATGTGCCAAACTTACCCGTAATTTGTGGTACCAATTGTCGATATCGTTGAAAAAATCCAAAAACTTCTTTTGTTTAGATAACACCACAAAAGTGCGTACTGTTATTGTAATCATACCCGAAACTTTAAATAAATTCGCTACCACTTCATCGAAATTATGCCAAATTAGATAAATTCTATAGATGGTAGCGAAACAGCAAAAAGTTGGCATAGCGAGCATAAAGAGCGCACGCTTTGGGTCACCCAGATAGCCAACACGCTTCATATACACCAAATTAATGTTGTACAATTGCTCACAAAAGTACATTTCGATGGCGCAGAAGTGTCCGTCTATTGATGCAAATAAACTATGAACTTTATTGAATTTCCGCAAAGAACAATGAACGTCCAAGCGTGGAAGTTCGGCTTATATAGGCAATTACGGTATAGTTTTCGCACATTTAATTACATAGCAGATCTGCATTCTTTTAGAAATGTGCAAATTGTGTGGGTGTGGGTGGTCCTACAAAATAATCAAAATAATTACTATTTTGCAGCGTAAAATCACATAGGTAGTTATTCAATGCCAATAAACGATCCTAGCAGAAATGACAAATAATTATAAACCTTTCTTAATTGCTGCCAATTTATTGTTAAAATAAAAGCTTGAGACTTTTTCAGAAAAAGCTTATGGTCAAAAATGTGGTTAGAGATATTTGTGTCGCGGTTCAAAATTTCACACGCAGCAAAAAAAAAAATCACACCTGTTATAGAGGATTTCGATCGGATCGACCGGTCGATGTTTGCAGTAAATGGCGGCCATGTTTTATTAGTGGCATCTGAGGCAACTTCTTTCTTTTTCTTTCATTTTTATTCAGTCGCTGATACCAAATAATCATAACAAACTATGCAAAGCGCATTTCTTTTTGATAAATGGCATTAGGGCGGTCCAAAAGTGCATGTGAGAAAAGTAAAGTCGGATTTTTAACGCTCTCACCCACAAGGATTGTTGTATAAGAAAAAACCTATATGTAGGTTTACCGCTGTTTTTTTTCTAATAAAAAATATTTCATCGCTTGGCGCGCAATACCTCGTAACAGCCAAATGCAATACCACGTATGTATAAGGTAGTCCGAAAATTTTAAAAGCTAGCAAAAATAATTTATTTTCCTCAAAACATTTGAATGGATTTCTTACTGAACTTACCAAATATGAGCTTCTACTACATTAATTAGCCATTGAATTTGTGGAATAAATAGACACCCATTGAGAGGGGGTAACGAAAATACCTTTTTTTGCCGCGCCACCTCATACGTGGTATTGCTTTTGGTGGGTACGAGCTATTGCGCCCCAAGCGACGATATTTAGAATTGGCTAAAGCGCTCAAACTTTTCCATGTATTTGACATAGGGGAAAAACTATTTTCCGTATAAATTGAAAAAACAATATTTTTCGATTGGAAAACTCTATTTCACTTCATGAGGCTTCTAATTAAAATAGCGAGTTGTTTATTTAAAAAAATGTAACTAAATTTTTACGATTTTTTATGGGTCTTCCACTGCATATTTGGGATTTTTGAGGGACCAATAAAATTTAGTTGATATTAAAACTTTTTTTCAAGGATTTTATACCATTTTTATGAATTTTTATTTAATTTTTCATATAAGATACATAGCAAACTTAGAGCAATGTCTAAGTATTTTTTTGTTTCAAAAAAGGGGTATATATTTAGCGATATAGGACAATCCTAGGGGGTGAAGGCATTAAAATTCCCACTTTATTTTTTTTTAACCACCCTAGTGCACATACATTAGGCATATGACTTTTCTTATTAATTACATATACTGACGAGAAAGAAAAAAATGTTTACTGAAAAACACCATATGTCCAATTATCTTCATCTAAAATGCAAAAAGCTGCAACTAACAATTTTTTTTTGCATAAAAATTCGATGAAAAGCATCATAATAAATCAATAAATTGTGGATTTTTTGTTAGCTATGGCATTTTGCATTTTAGGTGACGATATGTATACATATGGGGCAATTCACGTCAAATATCCCCCAAACGCGCTGAGCGGACGAATAATGGAAAATAAAATTCAAAAACTTAGGATCCTACAGATTTTTGTACCGACTATCCGATGGTGCTATGCGCTTTCGAAAATTTTCCCACTTTCATGGTAAAAATTCGAAACGAAAATTTATTTGTAGTTTTCCTCAATGATGGTCTTTTTTTAATATTGTTTTTAGTTATCTCAATCGAAAGATCAGGTCTTTTTACATAGAAATTATTGAAGAAAAAAATTACGTTTTTATTTTTCCGGGTTATAAAATGTTTTAAGAGTCGCCTCATCGGATGTTGTCATTGTCCATGCTTCTGCGCCATATACCAGCACGGCCATGTTGAGTGACTTATACATAGAGTTTGATATTTTTACGACGAGAGAGGACTTTACTTCTCAATTGCATATTTCACTTGTTGGCAAGAGTAGTTCTGCGTTTGATTTCAAGGCTGATATTATTATTGGTGTTAATGCTGGTTCCCAAATAAACGCAGTTGTCTACTTTTTCAAACTGTCAACAGTGACGTGTGTGCCGAGACGCGTATGCTCTGATTGTTTGTGTGGTGACAGGAGATACTTCGTTTTATCCTCGCTCACCACTAGATCCATTCGCTTTGCTTCTCTATCTAATCCCGACAAGCCAGAACCGACACAGCACTTGTTTTTACCGATAATGTCGATGTCGTCGGCATATGCCAGCAATTGTATGCTCTTGTAAAGTATTGTGCCTGAGCCGTTCAGTTCTGCGGCTCTTATTGTCTTCTCCAACATCAGATTAACGAAGTCACATGAAAGGGAGTCGCGCTGTCTGAAACCTCGTTTGGTATCAAACAGCTCGAAGATGTCCTTCCCAATTCTGACGGAGCTGATGGTATTGCTCAACATCATTTTACACAGCTGTATTAGTTTCGCGGGGATGATAAATTCAGACAATACAGATAATATAGACAACTTCCTTTCGTGCTGTCGAAAGCGGATTTGAAATCGACAAATAGATGGTGCGTGTCGATCCTTTTCTCGCGGGTATTTTCCAAGATTTATCATATTGTGAATACCTAGTCTATGGTGGATTCGCCAGGTCTAAAGCCACACTGATAAGGTCGAATCAGTTCGTTGACGGTGGGCTTCAGCCTTTTACACAATACGGTCGATAAGACCTTGCAAACTATGCTTAGAAGGCTGATCCCCCGGTAGTTAGCGTGTGGGGCGGGGTCGCCTTTCTTGTGGATTGAGCAGAGCACACTTAAATTCTAGTTGCCGGGCATACGTTCATCTGAACATATTCTGCATAGGAGTTTATGCATGCACCTCATCAGCTCCTCGCCGCCGTACTTGAATAACTCGGCTGGCAGGCTGTCAGCTCCAGCAGCTTTTCTGTTTTTCAGCCGCGTAATCGCTATTCGTTCCTCGTCATAATCAGGCGGTGGGTCATCGATTCTGTTGTCATCGAATGGGGGCTCGTCTTCGTCTTCTTCACTACGTTCAGTGCTGCTGCCATTCAATAGGGTGTATAAGTGTTCCCTTCATAATTTAAGAACGTTCTTACAGAAGAAGAAAACTGGAGGCACTTAAAAGATTTCATGTGGAAATTAAGTTAATGAATATTTTTTTAGCGTAATGACACGAATATTTTTGAAGGCCCCTCTTTGTAACTTAATGCCAAGTGGAAATTCAGCATTACTCTCACATACAACTTTCGGGCGTTTTTCCTGACGGGCAGCAATTCAAACTCTTCGCACTCAGGTGTTTCGGTCGCTCTCTTCTTATTGCGGCAAATACGTTCCGCTTCCCTCTTCAGTTCCTTAAAACGGTCCCACATGGTTCGCGTTACGCCCGGTCGCAGCGTGGCCCTGTAGGCAGCATCTTTTTTTCCTTTCGTGAATGAAGGTAACGATATTATAAAAAAATTTAATTTGCTTTGAAAGCAAACTCGAAAGATATGTATGAACAAAGTTACTTAGTTTTAAATTAATTTTTTATGAGCAATCAGAATCTGATTAATTAGAATTTTTGAATGAGCAGGATTATGATTAATTAAAACATGATTTAATCGATTAATCGCAAGTCCCTAATTTATACAAAGATCGTTGGGATTGATGCGTCGAGTACGGTTACTCTCGTCTGCATGTGTCGGCATTTTAGTAGAAAATCCCAGGTGAATTTCCGTTATTCAGCCTACCGGAATGCTCATTATTCAAGCTATCAAAAGCCGTGGTAAATCGATGCATTGGGCGTGGTTTAAACTTTTCTTTGCTTGAATTATAAAATATCTGTCTGAGTGCATAATAAAATACATACATTTAAACTATACCTACATATGTACAAACCTGCATTCACAAATATTAAAAAAACCATCAACAGCCTGCTAAATGCATTTATTTCTGTTTTTGTTTATTATTGTTTGATTTTTTACGTTTTTTTTTATTGTTTCAATTCTAGTAGCATTACAATATTGTATTATATAATAGTAAATTAATAATTTTCATTTAAAAATGTTGCACTTGTCGCAAATTATTTGCTTTAATTTAGGCTTTCTTCGTTTATTAGAATTTTTATTTGTTTAATGTAGATTTGATTTAGGTATTCAGTTTTTTTGTTTTTCTTTTCATAATTTAGAAGTGCAAATGCGAATGCGTAAAACATATTTTTTTATTTAGTTATATATGTATGTACACTGCCGGAACAAAGTATTGGCACAGCAAATTTTTCACAATATATGCAACAATTTTTATTCTAATATTTTTCTGCCAATTTTGTATAGAAATATGGTTCATTCAACACCAAAAAACATAAAAATATAATTCCTAAACTTTGTGCAAAACTCGCGAAAATTCAGCAAATTTTCAACTTTATAATCACATTTTTTAGAATTTTTTTGAGTATGCAGTTTTGCAGCCCATTAAATTCTAGTAAAAAAAATGCAAGTTCGGAGTTAGTCAATTTTTTTTTGTTGAAGGTGTTTTGCATTTTTTCCATATAAAGTATTTTCGAAAAAAAAATTTGTATGGTAGAGACTGCGTGAAAAAAAGTTGTCAAAAATCAACGGTAATTCCTAACTACTTAAAACTTGCACTTTATTATAATAAAATTGGGCTACATATCTGCATACTCGAAATTCTAGATTCTAAAAAAAACTGATTAAAAAGTTGAAAATTTGCTGAATTTTAGCGAGGTTTGCACAAAGTTTAGGAATTAAATTATTATGTTTTTTGTTGTAGAATGAACTAATTTTTATACGAAATTAGCGGAAAAATATTAGAATGAAAATTGTTGCATATATTGTGAAAAATTTGCTGTGCCAATACTTTGTTCCGGCAGTGTATGTATGAGCGCATATATGTATGTATGTTGAATAATTGTAAAAAAGGAAATCATCGCTTCATACTCGTTACTGTTGTTTTGTTGCTTGTGTATTTTTTTTTATTTTGGTACAAGAGTAAGTATTTAGGTACATAAATATGTATATGTACTTATTTTGCTACATACATACATATGTATTTAGAGAAATGTTTTTTGTGAGGCTCTTAATGCTTTTTTTGCCAAGCT